ACCACATCCACAAACATCCCACTCCCTCCCCCACTGACGCTCAGTCGCAGCAGTGTGTACCATCTACAAGATGCTCTGCAGAAATTCACCAAAGATCCTCAGGCAGCACCTTCCAAACCCACGACCCACTTCCATCCAGAAGGACAAGGGGCAGCAGATACATGGGAACACCACCCCCCTGCAAGTTCCCCTCTGAGCCACTCCCCATCCTGACTTGGAAATATATCCCCATTCCTTCAGTGTCACTGGGTCAGAATCCCTGGAATTCCCTCCCTAAGGGACATTGTGGGTCAACCCACAGCACATGGACTGCAGTGGTTCAAGAAGGCAGCTCACCCCCATCTTCTCAAGGGGGGGGCAACTAGGGACGGGGCAAGAAATGCTGGGCCCAGGCAGTGACACCCACTTCCTGTGTGTGAATTTAAAAAATGAGTCTTAGTTTTTCTCTCTCTCTCTCTCCCACTGTTTCTTTTGCTGTAACTGTTGCTCACTCTTTCTCTGCCCGACTATTTCTCTCTCTCTGTTTTGGTCTCTCTCTCTCCAACTGTTTCACTCTCTCTCTCTCTGACAGTGTTGTCTCTCATTTAGACCCTCAGCTGTGTAGAAGGTGCATCATGCATGGTTATGTGAACCTCCTGGATAATCCCCTGGGCACTCGCTGTTATTTTTACCTCTACCCTCAGAAACTCAAGTGGAAGAAGAAAGGAGAACATCGGGTGAGAATGAAATTATTATCCTCTGCATGTCCCACTCCCTCCATTACACCCTGTCTCTCCCCCTCACCCTCACCCCCACTCCCTCCACTACGCCCTGTCTCTCCCCCTCACCCTCAGTCCCACTCTCTCCAGCACACCCTGACACTCCCTCTCCCTCAGTCTCACTCTCCCTGTCCCACACCCCCCTCCCTCTGTCTCAATCTCTCTATCCCACACTCTCTCTCCCTCTCCGTCAGTCTCACTCTGTCTCAGTCTTAATCCACTACCTAATTTTTCATCTCTCACTCCCTCTATCATTTTCTATTCGTATCTCTTGCTCTTTCACTCTCTCTCTATCAATTCCAGCGTCTCAAACCCCAACCTTTCTTTCTCAATCTCTCAGACTCTCTGTCCTCAATAAGGACCCTACCCAGTGACCTCCCCTTCCCCCCCCCGTGCTGACCCTATCCCCCCCCCCGTGCTGACCCTCCCCCCCCGATACTGATCCTCCCCCACTCCCGTGCTGACCCTACACCCCTCCCATGCTGACCCTCCCCCCTCCCCCGTGCTGACACCCCCCAACCGACCCAGTGCTGACCCCATCCCAACACCCTGCGGTTTTCTAAGTGGTGAGTTACATTTCCTTTAATGATGGCCTGCTCCCTCATAGCAGACGTTGAACTCAGTGGCCCATTGTCTCTCATTCGCTCCCTCCCCCCCTCAGTCCTCCCTGAGTAGCGGGGCTGAAGTCTGTTTTTTTTTCAATCGCTTGATAACTCGGTCTTGGTGTGAAGGGTCGGTTTCAGAGTTAGCAGATGATGCTAAACTTTGAAGAACTGTACCTGTGTGCAACTCCAAAAGGACATTGGTGGAGTGGGGCATAGGTGCAGAAGAGACTCAATTCAGAGAGATTTCAGGTGATTGTTTGTTTGGAGGAACAGTGAAAGACAAACTAAAATAGGGCAGTAAAATTCTAAATGTGGTGCTGGAGCAGAGGGATCTGGCTGTACATATGCACAGAGCATTGAAGGTAGCAGGACAAGTGGAGAGAGCAGGAAGCATGCAGTGTCCTCGGATTTATTAACATGGGCATAGTGCACAAGGGCAAGGAAGTGATGTTGAACGTATAAAGACACTTGCTGGATCTCAGCTGGAGTGTTGTGTGCAGTTGTGGGCTCCCACTTTATAGGAAGGATGTGAATATATTGGAGAGAGTGCAGGAGCATTTTATAAGAATGGTTCCAAAGCTGAGAAACTTCAGCGATGAGGATAGATTGAAGAAGTTGGGGACCGTTCTCCTTAGAGAGGTGGTTGAGATGGACATCTAATAGTGGGTTTTCAAAATCATGAGCAGGGGCTGGAGTGTCGAAAGGGAGAATCTGTTCCCCATCGTAAAAGGAACAAGAATGAGAGGGCCACAGATTTAAGGTGATGTGCAAATGAAGCAAGGGTGATGAGAGTCAAATCTTTCTCACCCAGTGAGTGGTTAGGCTGTGGAATGGACTGTCTGGAAATGTGGGGGAGGCAGGTTCAATTGAGGCATTCACAAAGGGGCATTGGATGGTTATTTGGTTAGAAACGGGGTACAGGGATATGGGGGAAAAGGGATGTCTCTGTGTCTCCCCAATTCTCTGCCGCCTCCCCCTCTCTCTACCTTTCCATTTCTGTCTTTGTCTCTCTTATTGTTTTTCTGTCTCTGTTTCTCTTTCTCTTCCCCCACCACTTCTGTCTCTGTCTCCCTCCCTCTTTCTCTATATCTGTCTCTCTCTCTCTCGTCAACACTGACTGATGTTAGGCCCTCTCTGCCTCTATCTCTCTCCCACCCCCTTCCCTGCACTGACCTGATGGTAATCTCTCTCCCCAGTGTGAGATGCTCAGGTTGTCAGACATTGAGGCTGTAACTGACCTCAACATGAAGGACAGGTCCTCGCTTCGGCTCCAAGTGCGGGGGAAGGATGCAATGATCCTGAAATTCGATGTGAGTATAAATTATTCCTTTTCTCTCTCTATCAGCCCATCTGTAAACAGCCCGGACCCGCCTCACCCCAAACTCACTCCTATACTCCCTCCGTCTCCATCTCTCTCTCTCAATCTCCTCCTGTCACATTCTCACTGTCCTCTCTCTCTCTCTTTCTCTATCCTGACACACTCACTCTCTCTTTTCCTACCCTGACTCTCTCTCTCTCTCCCCACCCTGACTCTCTCTCTGTCCCCTCACACAGAGTTACCCAGAGTATTATCAGTGGAGGAAGGAGTTACGTAGCCCTCACTCAGGAACGCAGCTCCGACGTCAGCACGTCACCAGTGTCAGCTTCCTAGACATCAGCTCAGACCACTCCTGAGGGTGTGCTAACCCTGCTGAACCATTCAAACCCAAACTCTCTCACTAACCCCTATCAGTCTCGCACACACACTCACTGCCTTACAGAATCTAATAAAACAAATTCTCACTCCAGGAATCTGGCTCGAGAGTAGTTTATCCTACACTTCTTCACTGAAAAATTCATCAGGGACCCTGCTTAAAGAGGGAGCCTCTCTCTCTCGCGCTCTCTCTCTCTGTCAGGGACCCTGTTTAAAGGGAGCCTCTCTCTCTCTCTCACTCTCTCTCTGTCAGGGACCCTGTTTAAAGAGGGAATCTCTCTCTCTCTCTGTGTAAATTCCATCAGTCTTTAGAGTCAAAGACAAGGAGAGGAAATAAATACAATAATTCCCACAAGACGAAAGTGTTTGGGGCATCTGATGGTGCCAAACACAACCAGGTCGCCTGGACCTCTGATACGAAGGGAAATAACTGCAGAAATAGTGGTTGCACTGGCAGAAATCTTCACAAAGGGCCTGACAAATCCATTTGAATCCTTTGAGGAGGTAACCAGCAGGAACGTTAAACAGGGATCAGTGGCTGTAATGTATTTGGATTTCCAGAAGGCATTTACTCAGGTACCTTGCTTCGCAAGAGCAGGGCCAGTGGTGCTGGGGGTGAGGACGTGAACATGGATGAAGGATTGGCTAACTAAACAGAGTTGGGATAAAGGCGGGTGGTATTTTCAGGACGGTAACAATAACTAGCGAAGTCCCACAGCGATCAGTGCTGGGGCCACAATTATTCACAATCTATATTCATGACTTGGATGTGAACGTACCGGCTCTGAGTTTGCAGATGATACAAAAATAATTGGGAAGGTGAGTGGTGAGCGTGTCAAAGTCATTACTGAGTAAGTGGGACCCCAGGTGTCCCTTGAACTAAGAGAAATTGTCAATGAAATTAAATGCACTATAAAAGGGTTCTAAAGGATGACCAGCTACATCCATGCCAATAATCCGCCTGTATGTTTGCAATATAAGTTGAATACTGCCTCCCTTTCTGTGGTGGGTGTTTTTGAGGCTTCATGTTGGTTTTGAGGCTTGTGCCAGCTCATACCCCCATGTTTATAGTGTACAGGGTTTTCAGATGACATGAGTGAAAATTCCACATGACAGAGTTTTGAAAATGAGCAATCCGCACAATTCGAGGCACAGGGATAATTTGCGTAGGGAATGTTGTGAATGGTTTTATTTGTCAATTATTCACAATCTATATTCATGACTTGGATGAGGAAAGTGAATGAACCATCACCAAGTTTGCAGATGACACAAAAATAGTTGGGAAGGCGAGTGGTGAGGGTGTCAGAGTCTCAGAGGGATACATACAGGTTCAGTGAGCGGGTAAAAACGTGGCAGATGGAACAGAATGTGGGGAAATGTGAGGTGATGCACTTTGGCAAGACGAATAGAGGAGTTGAATATTATTTAATTGGAGAAAGACTGTAGAAAGCTACAGAACAGAAGGATTTGGGAATCCTCATTCATGACTCACAAAAAGCCAGCATCGGAGTTCAGCGGGTAATAGGGAAGGCAAATGGACTGTTGGCCTTTATTTCAGAGGGAATGGAGTATAAAAGTA